AAAAGAAGCAGGAGGTGTGGTACCCTCGCTTTCTATACATGCCCTCCACCAGCAAAAAATAGGGAGGCCCAACAGACCAGGGTCCACTGAAGTTACAGAAGCATAAATTGAAGCTGCTTTGGAACATGCGTTGTCTTGAGAAGTTCGGGGTGGTGGCGGTTCTGTGCATAAGATTCTTAAGGAAGTATCAAACTTTGACTTCTGTAATTATATTTGAATAAAACTGGTTTGTAAGATATGGGTTAGCGTATTTTGAAAAGTGTCGTGGTCCGGGTTGCCTCCTGGCCCTGTAAAGCCTGTCGCCGTGTTGGGAGGAGGATCTTCAAGGAAACAAACACCTCAGATATGAACGGGCTGGGTGTTGCTCCACACGCCAGACCCCGTTCTCAAATTAATCGCCTCTTCGCTTTCTCTCTGGCTTAGCTATGCGATTATCTGAACTCCCCGGTGCTTTCCGTTTCCTCTCTTTTATCCTCCTCCCCACCTTTCCATACACACCCCTCAGAGCCCATAGGCTATTTCAGCTATCACTCCCTGTGGTCCCCGTGTTTTCCCAATCCCTGAGGGTTTCCCCCTTTTGATCCCACCCCCTTTTAAATCCCCGTGGTGTTGTACAGGAAGGGGGAGTGCCCGCTTCCGCTCTGTATGTCGTAGCCGGTGCCTGGACTTCTCCCATTCTAGGAGTGTGAGGTAAGGCAAGGACCCTCCGCCCTCCTCTTTCTTTCACCTGGGCTCGCCCCTCTTTGGTACGAGGAGCGATGTTTGCGCCGGACCGCTCCCTCTCTCCTGGGTGCTCCCTGCGTCTGGGCTGTCGCTGCAGGAGCGGGTTGGGGACATGCGCTTCCCCGGCCTGTCCACCTCCCGGCATCATGAAAGAGCCCGGCGCGGACCGTGCCAGTCCTGCCGCAGCGGCCTGTAAGGCCGCGGAGGAACCCACAGCGGGACAAAAAGCAAAAAAGAGGACACATTTCCTGACTGCCTACTTCAAACAAGTGATCGCTATGACAAATCTCATTTAAATACCCCTACTATTTAAGCCATAATAATTGCTAATAACTAGGAATATTCCTAACCTTCCAACCCAAAAAGAGGACATTTCCATCTCTTAAAAAAAAGAGCCCAAAAGAGGATGGACATCAAATAAAGAGGACGTGTCCTCTAAAAAAAAAAAGGACATCTGGTAACCCTAGTGTGGTATGTGGACACCCCTGAATACAAGAGAAGCCCTGCTGGATTAGAAAGAGGGTTTGTCCCCCCAATGCTCCCTCTAAGCTGTGGAGTCTTGTGAGCAAAGATTCTACTTTGTCAGCTACTGGCATTAAAGTTGTGAGCGTGCGATTTGGCTACTGCATAAATTTGCTCTGGAGCCATCCTTCGTGAGCGAAGACAAAACATTGTGAGCTGGGGGCTAAAAAACTGTGAGCTAACTCACACTAACTCAGCTTAGAGGGAACACTGCCCCCCCCCTTGCCCAACCTCCTATTTCCAAAAGGAAGCAGCCAGCAGATGCCTCCGAAAATGTCAAAAGAACCCATGAAGGTAACAGAATCTTCTACTGCATACAGAGCAACTGATTCATGGGAATACACTGCCTCTACTGCCCGGGTTTCTGTTGTGCTGTTGTGGCTAAAACCCATTGACAGACGTGTTACTTTTTATCACTTTGTCAAATCCTTTTAAAAACTGCCCAAGCTTACATTATTACCATATCACAGAGCATTAAATCCGATAAGTTATCAAAGGCGTTTTTTATGAAGCACTTCCTTGTCAACTGTCCCAGCCTTACCATGAATCCTTTTAATTGGGCAACTATAAATTCAATCCTACGCAGAATCCAAGACAATGCATGTCCATAGAAGGGAATGGGTTTAGAAAGTGGTTAACTCTGCTTATTTACTTATTTTATACCCTGCCCTTCCCCCCAAGGGGACCCAAAGTAGCTTACACTGTTCTTTCCTCTTCCATCTCATCTTCTGTGGTTGCTAGGCTGAGGACTGTGACTGGCCAAAGGTCATGGAGCACTCTTCCAGGGCAAAGAGGGGAGATGAACCTGGTTGTCCCAGGTCCTAATCCAACACTCTAACCGCTGCACCACACAAATTCTCCACACTGTTAAGAGTTCAAGGTACATGACAGACAAATAAGTACCACTGTGCACTGGAAACCCCCTGACTGGGCCTTTCCTTTCTTACGGATGGCTCCTGACCCCTAGGGTCCAGACCCTGCAACAAACCCATATGCCGTTTTTCTCTCCATATCCACTCAGAAAGTGCTATGACTACAGGACCTAGCAACCTGAGCTATACCTACAGGGTAATAGCACATTCATGTGCTCATCCTCCAGTGTAACCTATGCCATCATGCATCAAAAATGCTCTTCTGGCCACACAGGTCAAATCGGTCAGTGGTATTACAAAAAAGAATAAATGGACACATATCTCACAGGGCTCTTTTTGTAGAAAAAGCCCAGCAGGAACTCATTAGCATAATAGACCACACCCAACAGCAGAAACTCATTCGCCTATTAGGCCGCACCCCCATGTTATCAGGTCTGGTCATCCAGCCACACCCACCTTCAGCTTCTTATTCTGTTTACCTTGTCTGTTGTCAAAACCCAGGGCTTTTTTTGTAGCAGGAACTCCTTTGCATGTTAGGCCACACACCCCTATTGTAGTCAATCCTAATGAGTTTTGCTGTTGGGTGTGGCCTATTATGCTAATGAGTTCCTGCCGGGCGTGGCCGGAGTCCGTTCCTGTGCGTTCCTGCCCAAAAATAGCCCTGCATATCTGACATTAATAATGACAATACACAGAAACCAGTGGGAGAACATTTCGGTCTACCAGGATGCACTCGTGCTGACTTAAAAGTTACCACTGACCAGCAAAAAGAGCTTCAAAGGGAGACTCCAGCACAAAACTACTTTAGAATTCATCAAGAAATGTGATACTATCTCTTCCAATGACTTAACAAGGACCCAAAGCTCCTCAGCCATTACAGATATTAATTTGCTTGTTTTATTTATTTAATACATTTCCTCCCACCCCAGCCTTTCCTCAGGAAATGCAGCATACATTATTCTCTCCCCTCCTCCGTTTTATCCTCACAACCATCCTGTGACATAAGTTAGGCAGACAAAGACCAAACTAGACAAGACATCATCCCTAGGTTCACCCTGGGAATGCACGTCCATTGTATAGAGTCATGGAATGCCATTTAAGAGTGCTGGATTCTTTTGGGGAGCACAGTGCCATGGGAACCTGATTCTGGTAGTAACCACAGTGGTATGAGGAGAAGGGGGCACCTGCCTTCTCCCACATGCCATTTTTCTGACCTGAAACAGAACTGTAATCCATGTGTCAGCAAATAAGTCCCTCCCCCCGGCACCATTTTGGAAAAAGAGCATGGGGCAGAGACAGGAACTTACTCACACACACCACAATCACGAGCAGGATCAGCAGGAGAATTTTAAGGCAAGAGAATTCCTCTGGTAAAAAACTGCAGCCACCCCCAGTTTGTACCAGGGAATGTGCGTCATCTAGTTATGCCCTGACTTTCATGAAGAGTGGGGGACTGGAACCTGGGACTCCAGGTCCCAGTCGAACATTGTAATTGCTATGCCATACTGGCTTCACACAACTAGGGAGATTTGAAGGATGCACACTACATGCATCTGATGAAGTGGACTCTAGTTCACAACATCCTACGTTAAAAAAAAATGTCCTAGTGTTACCTTCTTTCTCCACACCATTCCTTACAGACCTCTCTACCTTGCCTCCCACCCTCAAAAAGCCCTAAAATGTCCCACACTTTCCTTGGGGAGGAACACCTCCACCTCCTGATTGCTCTGGCTGCCCTTGCAGTGTAACTTTTCCAACAACAGAACATCCTTTTTGAGAGGCATCAACCACAAATGCAACAGAACTGTTATTCGAACTGTCAGATGGTACCACAAAATGTGACAGACAAGAGTTGGATCGCATTTTATGAGCAGAATTTGAAGGACTGTTTCCTTGGGGGAGCTGGAAAGGAATAAACCAACAGAATACATAACATTCCAGCTAAAGGGTTTTTTTTAATGGCAATCACTTCAAAATATACAACTAAACTAACGGTGCAGGGGGGACAGTTTTCTTGAAGAAGGGGGAACCTGGCACAGACAACAGCTGAGGGGTCCCAAAAGGAAGTCTGTGCGGATAGTCAGTTTAGGGCCAAACTGTACATTTTGGGTTTTTTGACATGTTGGTCCTGCCTTCCCCCACTGCACCTCTTTCCGCAGTCCCAACTGGGCTTCTCATGCAGCTGCAGCATGACTGTGGGGAAAGCGAGTTCAAAAAGTGATGTCTGGTTTGGCCCTTACAAGTTGAATAAACCACAGCAGAAACAGGCTATCTACAATCTCCAGTGAGATACACTCTTCAACTCACACCAGCGGAATTTTTTGCAAGGGTATATTGTGAAATACTACCCAAGACTTTCTGTCAGAAAGAATGCTGTGTTTCAAATGTTTGCCTTCAATCGTCAATCAAGAATGTGAGTAAGCAAGGTCAGATTTGTCAGAATTACAGGGTGGTTAGTTTTTTCTTTCAAAACAATAAAAACTCTTATGACTGTGGATATACACCTTTGCAAGCTGGTACCTACAGGAACGAATATTAGGTATCTCACAGTAGCCTGAATAACTGAGCCTAGCCCAATCTTGGCAGAGTTTGGACGCTAAGCAGGGTCGGCCATGGTTAGTACTTGGACGGGAGCCCACTATGGAAGTCCAGGGCTGCTATGCAGAGGAAGGCAACGGCAAACCACCTCTGCTCATCTCTTGCCTTGAAAACCACATGAGAGGCTGCCAGAAGTTGGCTGCAACTTGACAGCACTTACCTGGAGGAGCGTGAAAGTTCAAAAGACTGGCTAATTTAGCCTAGCACAGCCTCTTGTTGGGTTCCTTGCTACTCAACACCCCTTAACTTGGTCAGAATGTCAGCGGAAGAAATCTAAGGACTCACCATCCACCACTGCTGAACATCCAGCGGTAAGTCCATGTTCTCCTTGGTCCACACCGGAGATATGCGCTTGTCATAGCGGCTGTCAAACCACTCTGAATTGGCTGGCTCTACCACGCACCTGTGGCAGGAGCAGCCCCTCATAAAGAGCCCCTCCTTGCTGAGGCGCTGCATGCCGGCATAGCCCGGCACCAACTTCACCCGATGGATGTCATTGAACCCGTTGGAGTCCAGGTAGGCGATGCTGTGGTGGGAGTATGTGAAGAGGAGGGACATGATGAAAACCAGCAGAAAAGCGGTGGACAGGAACCAGAAGCGCAAGGAAAACTTCATGGTGGGCATGAGAGGAAAGGGGAGGTGGGAAGGGTCACCGGGGCAAAGGCGGCTGCACCTTGAGAGGCTGCCCACCTGCCTGGTTGGTACTGACAGTACACTGTCCACAGTCTCTGTAACAGCAGAAAGAGAGCATAGAGCACACTCTAAGTGAAGAGGTCGCAGATGGCAAGAGGTTCAGCTCCTCAAAGCTTCCACAGGGCACTGTCAAGAGTTCTCTGGAAATTGCAGAGACTCGCTTTGTTGTGGTAATTCAACAATTACAGATAGTGGTACCGCATTGGACTTCCAGTTCCTTTAGGCTTTTCCTGCATCCACAACCCCAAACCCCAGCTTTTTTGGAACTCCAAAGCTTTGGCTGTAGAACAAAAGCAGTCCATGGCTGTTATGAGTAGAGACTCCCTCCCTGTTTAAGGTTAGGACAGATGTTCCCACAAATTTCTTTTTCCACAGGAAATTAGGCTGTCATCTCCACCGTAGTAGCTTCCCTTCAGAGAGGGTGGGGAAGAGGGGAGAGGAAAGGGATGCAAAACATGAACATCATGCCCTCCTTTACTCCTTGGTGTGAACTTCGGCTGCTTTATGTCAGGAGGAGGTGAAAGGATCCTGTATCAGAGCGAGGCCATCCTTGGAGGCAAGAAGCTACACGCCCTCACTACCTTGCCAGCATCCGGAAAGGTGCTGCTTCCCATCCTGGGGCTCGTCTCTAAGAAGGTCTCCTTGCTGTTGCCAAGGAGATGGCTGCACCTCTGCAGCAAGGCCCGGGAGCAGCTGCAGCTTGGGTGGCCCACGTGCTCTCTCACTCCCTGCCGTGTACAGGGGCCACACAGTCGTGTATGCAGCTCCCACTCGACCCTTCAGTAGCTTTGTCCACTCGGCATCCAGCGAGGCATGGAGCTGTGTCCTCCCCCTCTTCCTCGGCTCAGGCTTTTAAATAATCTCTTGGCAACCTTCCCTTCTCCACTTGCTCACTAAGAGATGCTGCTGCTGGTGCAACCGAGCTCTGAAACAGGGGAAGAGAAGAGAAAGCATTTTAATGTTTTATTATGATGGTGGTGATTTATTTAGTATGTTTTTCTCCTGTCCTGCCTCCAAGGAGCTCCGGGGGCCATTCACTCGTCCTCCCTGCCTCCACTTCATCCACACAGCACTCCTGAAGAGGGACGCTTGGTTGAGAAGGAGGGACTGGCCCAAAGCCACCTGGCAAGTTTCCACAGCAGAGCAGGGATTTGAAATTAGGTCTCACAGATCCTAGTCTGGCTATCTAACCATTAAACAGATCTGTCTCTTTTATAAGCAGGAACTATCAGCTGTGATTGTCAGGGGCAAGCTACAGTGAGGGCAAGAACACCCACTCCACCCCTTTCTGGAAGTGCAATTTTGCTGATGAAAGAGGGAAAACAGACAATTTCACCCCCTTCCTCACTGCAGCCACTCCCCAGGAATCTCGGTCAAGAACTTCCTTTCTGCTACGCAAGATACATAAACCTTGCAACCCAGGATACCCCACTGTCTCAGGCATAATCACTGTAGGGATATCTGGTTATAGACACTCTGTACTCAAGTCCTATGCCATCACCATGCCCAGTTACTTGTGCAGTACTACTGACTTCCTTATACTGAATCAAAACTTTGGTCATTAGGATAAGTTGTGACTACTCAAACCAGCAGCAGCTTTCCAAGGTCGTCAGCAGAGGTCTTTCACATCACGTACTCCCCAGTCCCTTTAACTGGAGATGCCAGGGAGCGAACCTGAGACCTTCTGCATACTGAAAAGATGCTCTGCTACTGAGCCACAGGCCCCTCCCAATCCACTGACAGTTTCCTAGGAAACGCCATTCAGGGTATTATGGAGGCATGTCCATATACCAACATCCCCCCACAAAAATAGTCTACAAGCCACGAGGAACAGTCTCTCTAGTAATTACCACAGCAGTAGGGATGGGCACGAACCCACAAATGAACCCTGGTTGGAGCACGAACCAGGGGTTCAGGAGAACATATCTCCCAAGATCCCCCCATGAACCTCCATGTTTTTCATAGAGGTTTGTGAGGTTCGTGGGAGACACATTCTTAGGCTTACTTCCAGGTCCGGCAGCCCATCCAGAAGTGGGCTCCAAAGGCATTTAAATACCTTCAGAGCTCACTTCCGAGTGGGATGAACTCCACAAACCACAAACCGGTTTGCACAATGGAGGAGTTCATTGGAAGTTTGCGGTTTGGGGTTTGTGAAAACCCGAAACCCCCAATGAACTTCCATTTTCCCAGTTCATGCCCACTCCTACACAGCAGGTCTTGCTACCAAGATTTGACACTTTGCCCTCACCTATATGCACTTCAGATCCTGTGGCATCTTGTACCGTGGGTATCCAACACGGCACTGCAGTACACAAACATATTTACGGATAACTCAGAGCAACACTTCCTCAACTCCACCACCTCTCCTGTACTTGCAGTTTTTTTAATTACATTTGTGTCATCTGGGCACAGGGAAGTAAGCTCTCATGAAAGAGACTCTCTCCCCACCATCAAATCCATGTAAAAGGTATATATTCTGGACACTACTGTACTACTACATGATGGGTGCACAAGCACTGTCTTATACTGGAAACCTACTGACCACAAGACACAGCTGCATGGTTCCAGCTTCTAGGCAAAGCGACAATCTATCAAGTACCACATTACTAGTGCCTTTATTCCAAACCCTCTGTCAGGGACCCTTCACCTGGATGATTTACAACAAACACTCTTGGGATTACAATAAACACCCAATGGAGCAAAGAAACAGATCAAGGAAGCCATAACAGTACCCAGAAAGAGTCTAAAGGACAGACCCAAAGGACATAACAACAGATTGCCACCTGGCCTCACCTACAGCTTGCCCCTCAAGCCAGCCCAAAGCATTAATGGCCAGCAGGCCATCCTGGACAGTGGTGTTTGTCTTCCTGGCCCTGGGTGGAAGAACCTTCTTGCTCACAGGCAGCCACCTGACACAACATTTCTCATCTACAGCGGCAAACCACACAATGGAGGCACAAATTCAGGAACCAGGCCCCCGCAACAAACCTAGATGCCAATTTTGTTCTTGTACATACTTGAGCAAGATCACTGCAGTACCTCCTAATATCAGGTATGCCATCTGGGGCTTGTCCACTCACTTATCTTCTGATGTAATATAGGCCATCAAGTGTCAACAATGCCTTTGTGCTATATAGGCTGGGCAAACAGGTCAGCCCTTAAGCAAAAGAAACCCAAATCCCACAATTTTCAGAAACTAGTGAGTGAACATTTTTCATTGTCCAGGACCCTCTGTGTTGATGTAAAAGCTACTCTAACAATAAAAACTTTCAGCTACCTTGTGCTGGATTCTCCCTTTTGAAGAAGGATTAATGAGCACATTAAAGACTATTTACCCACCAGGTCTTCAGAGGGATAATGGGTTGCTTACTCAGTACAGGTGCTCATATCTTGGATAGTCTACTGTGACTTCCTACTGTAATGGCTTATCTTGCATTAAATTCTAATTAAACCTGATTTGCCTGCTTCTCATCAACTCTGAATTAACTGAATAATGTGATTTTTTAAAAGGGCTTCTGCTTAACTATAATAAATCCCTGGCCTGGGCAAAAGCCAAAAGACCTCTCTCTCACACGGTGTGACACGAAGAAAGTTGTAATTCTATTACTAAATACACTGCTAAGGGGCTGCTCAGTCAGAGTGGGGGAACAGCATTTTGGTGAGAAAATCTGCCTCACAGTAAAGAAGAAGCAGGGGTCCATCATATTTGGTACAAGATGGTTTTTTTAAAAACTCAGATTTTTTTTAAAACCGGCCTCTCCATAACCTTGTTCACCCCGCCACTGCCTTTCTGTTACAAACATAAAAACAGAGACCCAAAAGATGTATACTTCAATGCAATTCAATGGGATAAGTTTTGTTCATCTTTAAGGTGCCACTCCCATTTTATGTTTCAGGCAAAAGCATCTGCTGTCATTTCCCAGCCAACCCTAATAACAGAAAACAGAATGGTGCTTCCCTCAGCCTGTTCCAGTTATGAGCCAGAGAAGAGAAAAGCAGGAGTTCCAAACAGCTGGTAGTATTTTTGATGTGAAGAGCTTATAATACCACAGATCTTCTCCATCCTCTTGACCTGGCATTCTGTGGAAGTAGCTTGCTACCAAATTGTGAGCAGCAACGCTTGCGGAAGTATGAAGGGATCTACAACAGCCTCTGCCACAATAAATCATTTAGTCTCTAAGGCGCCACAAGACTCGTTTTTATTTTTACACCAGTAAACTAACACAGATACCTCTCTGGAATTCACTAGCTTCCCTCCAGTTTCCTTACTGTGTAAAGTGTGGATTATTTTGTCGTTCACCATAAAGTATGGATCATTTTGTCATTCACTGCACCCACCTTCTCACCCCTTCAGCAGCAGGAGGAGGAGATTGGATTTATACCCCATCCTTCACTACCTGAAGGAGTCTCAGAGTGGCTTACAATCTCCTTCCCTTTCCCTCCCCACAACAGACACCCTGTGAGGTAGGTGGGGCTGAGAGAGCCCTTGAGAGAACAGCTCTGAAATAACTTATAACTGATCCAAAGTCACACCAGCAGCTGCATGTGGAGGAGTGGGGAATCAAACCCAGTTCTCCCAGATTAGAGTCTGCGCTCTTAGCCACTACAACAAACTTGCTCTCCAAAAAGACAGTGTGTGAGGTAATGAGTGAACTTAAAGATGGCATCTGTTGGGGGGGGGGGAGATATTGTAAAACATGCAAGATTGGGACAAAACTAGGCATCATCCAAGTCTAGGCCACTGTGGCACAAATCAGGCTAATATGCAAAACTGGGATGCCCTGCAGAATCTAAACACATTTTGCAAAACACTGGGGTGGTAGAACGCAAGGAAGGAAGATGATAAGATGAAAGACATATACTTCTACGACTGGATGGCTCATCCCCCCACCTACGGTTGCCAGGTCCTCCCTGGCCACTGGTGGGGGGTGGGCAGGGTTGGCAGCTCCAGGCTGGGAAACACCAGAAGATTTGGGGGTGAAGTCTGGGGAGGACAAGGGACCTCAGTGGGGTACAGTTCTGTTGAGTCCACCTTACAAAGCAGCCATTTTCTCCAGGGGAACTGATCTCTGTAGCCTGGAGATGAACTGTAAGTCCAAGGGACCCCCAAGTCTCACCAGGACATTGGCATCTCAACTCCCACCTCTGCCACTGTGCACTTCATACTTGCCCGCAATGTAGCCTCAAATTCAGGGTGCATCCACACCCACATTTCATCCTGGCAGCAGCTGGAACTGGTGCAGAAATAGCAGGCTCTTCTTGTGAAAAAAATTGAAGGTTTTTTTTTAAATGTAGTGAATTATAACAACTTTTAGCAACACTATGTAAGGCTTCGAATGATTCATTGAATAGTACTGTGCTTCCCCCCCACCCCAGAACACTGTGGTCAGCCTACAATTATGTGTTTTAAAAGCCATTAAACCTGAAATAAGGTATAGTATCAGCAACTGTTTTTTTTTAAAAAAAATGCCTGCTTGTGAGAGGGCTGTAATGCTAAGTAGGCAGCAGGCTGATACTTCTTGACAAACACCTCTAAAACGAGGCAGCAGGTGGCCAGAAGTTCCAGGCGATTTTCCACAGTGGGGGGGAAAATCCAAGAAGAAAAGCCATGTAACACTTGTATGAATACCAACTCAAATGGCACCATATTGGAAGCTTTGCTTTGCTGCTAGGTCTCCCCTGCCAACTGTAGGGCCCGGGGTGGGAAACGGTCTTTCCTCTTACCCTTGGTAACAAAGGACACCATCATGAAGTAAGTAGTGGCATTCTTGACCTTAGGAAACTGCCACAAGACTTATCAATCGTTACTAAAAAGGAGATTGGGACTGAACAGACATTTCGCTGATTGTACTCCCTTAAACACGCTCTGCAAATTATTCTCCAGCCCATTTAATCCAACATTTCCCCCTCTCTCTGCTTCT